TCATGCTTAAAATCGCCAGGGATACCCCTGCTACCCCTGCAGCACCACCAGATTCTCATTTGCAGCAGCCTAACAACTCGGATTTTACTGGAGAGTTTAATGCCGCCAGTTCGATTGGATGGGTGCTGCCATGAAGATACTCGCTAGGGGCTGCCCAAAAAGCACCCAATTTGTCAGTAAAGATATTTGTTAAGTAAAGAACTGCCAGTGTAATCCTAGGTACGTTTGACCATATTTCTTTTCCTAGTAACGCGCAGGCAATCAGAAAACCAAGTATTGCCTATCCACATTTAATTAATTCGACAGTAATTTAAGGAAGGTAAGTATTCCTTCCTTCCCAGTGCTGAAGGAAAGCTCTCAACTGTTTTAAATTCTTTGGAAAACCTCATCTTTATGTGGGTTGCGTTTACGGCGTAAAATAAAGTTTTGAAACTTCCAAAGAACTATAATTGAAATTAATGTCAAACTGTTGCATTGATAAAGGTTTTGCACTCAGAGTGATGTGAAAACCACCAGAAGTTTAACAAAATTGCTTTTACAGTATTGTCTCTGTCAGCTACCAGGATTATTGTGAAGATGTGAGCGCAAGCAGCATTGGCTGCACACATAACCAAGATGCCAGGCTCAACAGACAATTCCTGTTTTCCCACTAATGTCATTACTCATTTTTAACTAGACTCTTTCTGGGTTTGCATTTCGAAGTATGAGACTCTCTGAGCTATATCTAAGTATCATCTAGGAGAATTTTACAGTCCATTTACACAACTACTGTTTACGTTGCCTTTTAATTGTACTACTTATTTGTACTTTAAGTTCTCCTCATGGGAGAATTTGCCTTGGGCTCCAGAAATCTTAAACCTAAATGAAAAAGCTACCACAATACAGAAACCTTCCAGAGTGAAGTATGGGATGGATCCTTTGGACCCAGCACTTTTCCCAATACATGACTTACCACAGAGACGCTAACATGAATACCTGTAACCTGTGAATCACTGTTTACTGCAATAGATTTATCCCTTTAACCATACTAAAGAATTAGTATAAGCTAAACTCTACCCCTCTCCAGTCAACTCTCCAATAACGGATACAGTAAAAGAAGAAAATATGCTCAACTCTTTGGGATACAGCAAATACACACATTTGTCTTCACTTCAAGGAATTACAATGAACAAACTAACTAGAAACGTTTGCATCCTGTTTCTGAAAGCATTAAATTACACAGCTTTAATTTGCCTGACCTAAATCATCACTGCAAGACAATGTGAGAGAGGTTAAGCCTGGGATAGATGCAAAGGAGGATTATTCCAGAAGTCTGGATTCTATTTCTTCTCATTTCACAGACTCTGCACAGCATTTTCAGTGAAAATGCCAGCTCCTCCTCAGCAATTGTGTGGAAGACCTTGGTTTCCACATCTGAAATGACAGCGATGTGGAACTTTGGACTCACGTCCTGCCATGGCACATAGCAAGCGTTCACACACAGATCCCATTCAAGCTTATGGGACTCAAATGCCAGTTTGTATTTTCAGATTCTATCTATTCACATTCTGCCTGACTTAATTAAATTGTTTCTGTCCTCTTAACTTTTCTCAACAGCAGCAGAGAGGAACATCAGCTACGCTTACGCAGCAGACTAGAGAATTGTTAAGCTATGCTCCTTGGCATCGCACCCAGCAGAGTGAGGTAGCCTCCAAAGATTAAAATGGGATTCTAATTTAAAATATAGAGTAGGCCAATTGCGAGTGAGTCGGATCAGAGCATGTTCAACAACAAAACATTTCTTCCTTAATTCTACTTGAAGATTTTATGCACAGTCAGATTAACCACTGTGAAATTTCTGTGGTACCGAGCCATCTAGTGGTTATTTCAAACCATTTTTGAAAATGAGCCCTTTTAACAGGTTGGATGTAGGAAGAATTCAGGTAATGCAAACAATACAACAGCAGAAAGGTGTACATCTGCACCACTTCCAGCTTGCTCTGTATCCTGAATACAGAACCAAACATCCTCAAAGACAACCAACTGCCTTGATTTACAGATGACCTGCCAGTGACTTTTTACCAACAAGTCTTTTCATAAGACAAAAGTCACTAAGGTTGCAGACTGGAACAATCAATGCTTTCGCTGAATTGTCAGTCATACCCATAGAACAAGATTTATTCTAAGAGGGACACTAAAGACAGGGCAAGCAACAGAAAAGGAGAGACCAAAGAATATATTTTATCACTATGGCACAAGTGTGGTTTGCAGATCGGTAGACCTGCCATCACCAGGTCCATTCCCTGCTCTCCTACACAACCACATCACAGCCATAATAAACTACCTTAAAACTAGTTTAATTTCTTGGTTGCAATTCCTAAGGAAGCATAAGTTGGGACCTAAGACTATGCCCTGTTCTTTGAATTACAGGATTTTATAACAAAATAAAAACCAAGAAAGTGACCTCTTGAAATCTAGTGCTTTTATTGAAGTTTTATAGCGACATACAAAATACAGCGTATTATCAAGATGCTTATAAAAGTGAATAGAGATACTGTAGCAGGTACATAAAAAAATAGCAAAACAAATCTGCATTGACGATACGGGTTCCAAGGGAATCCTGTCCAAAAAGGAACTCCTTAACAGTCTTCTCAGTAGTCTGTCTTCCTATGTGTTCATTGTCCTCGTAGTTGGCTGGGTTTTTTTTCCTATTAGCTGGAGAACTGTTACATATGAACAGAAACATAACTACCTACAAAGTCCCTGTTGGATTGAAGCACAACTGTGTTGTTTTCACTCGAGACCATAAAAAGGTAGTTCTTTGAATAGCCATCCTATTGCGGAAAATCATTTGTTAGGTTAAAGATAAGCCAAAGTCCAATTCAGCAGTACTGCAGATGCTGTCAGAAAAAGCTTCTTTTTGCAGTTCTCTCCACTTCAATATTTGCTCTGCCAGCTCCTCCAACTCCATCGCGAGCACCTCTGCTTTTGTCAAAGTAGTTTCCTGAAGTAGAAAAGAGTTGAATTTCATCTCTAGACATCCTGTCAATCTAGCAGGACATTTTCATGTCCTGCTAAGCCTAAACCACCAAACAGCATTGAATTCTTGATGCTGAAGGAGACAGAAGTCTCAGTGCTTTTGCTACTCACCATATTTTTCACGATGTCCGGTATCTGAGGGATGCTTCTTACGATCTCCAAATGTCTTTCAAGCTTCTCAATGAAAGTGACAGCCTCAGCCAACAACTCTACCATATACCTGTAACAAAGAATGAGTCCCATACTCAAAAAGTTGTGCAAAACAGTGAGGATTTTATACTTCCAAGTTCTTCTTTCTTTCCCCTGTGGGTTTCTTAGTCCTCTTCTCCAGTTTTATGCAAGCTCCTAACCACCTAATTAATTTATCTGCAACTACACTTCTTTTATGAACCCTCAGCAACAAGCATGGCAGGAATTACAGAAGTGAATATGCATTCCTTCAGTAACTGGACTAGATATTTAGATCATGAGAAGGACTGTTTTTAAAATATGTACTATGCATGTCTCTGAATCATTCACACACTTATTCTGAGCAAGTCACAGTGGAAGAAAGACACCGAATGCTTAAGTAACAATTCCTACCTATGGAGAAGCGTAATGAATCAAGCATTTAACACAACTGTTTAAAAAACCAATAACCTAAGCAAATCTTCATAAAAATATGCATCACTATCTTTTAATGAATTTACCAGCGTAAACAACTAGATTTTAGCTGAGATTCTGCGATTATTTTTTACTTATATTCTTCTCAATGGAAAAATGAAGGAAGACATGAAGTTTTTACTGCCTGTTAGTTCAAATTAATTTGGATTCGTGCAGAAAAAAAGCAAGTATTTTCTCTATGCCTACTTGTGGAAAGTAACCTCAATAGGTAGGCTCTCTTGACATCTGGGCTTCATCAATCTCTTTTTAAGAGCCCTCTTCTGTTTCAGTACAGCTTCCAAGTGTCTGTTCATATCTTGCAAAATCTCGTATTTTTTGCCTATAAAACAAAATTGCAAAGTTGAACCTATCGCCCTGCTAAAACAAGAGCAAAATTTCTTCTGGAGAAAGACAGAAATCAGAAGTTTGATCTATTGAAAGATATCATTGATCAGAATGACTCTTGTCATTTTGAGCGTATAGGACTTAATATCAACATGCACTTCTAAGTCATAACACCTACTTTTTAGAGATACAGCTTTGCTAATTGTTTTATATTATCTACAGTTTTAAGTAAACTGCCTTTGAGATGAAACCGACTTCTTACACTACAGCATAGCACTGAAGGATTACCATATACTTTACTAGTCTAACACAGTAGTAGCAAGCCAGAAAGTTTTAAGCATCCATCAAATTGTACTGGGAAATGTGCAAAATAATAAAGAACTTAATACATATGGTCCTAAAATACTAAAACAAAAATCCAAGTAATTTTAGATGCAGCAGAAGTATGCGGAGTTACTGGAAAAGAAGCGAAGCAGCCCACAGGCCAAGGGAAGCAAATCAGGTTACTGATGATCTCGGAACTCCTGATGCTCCACTGACCCTGGGGAGCTGACCCCACACACACACACACACACAAAACTTTTTGGGAGAATGAGTTACACATGGAGCTTCTACTGAGGCAGCAGAAGGTACAAGTTCAAGTAGTACAGAAGCATTCTTCAGGGGCTGATAATACACCTGTCACCTCTAACAAGCTATCCAGTGCAAACAGCTGCAATAACTTCCAGAAGTGTCATGTACTCAAATGAAACATTAATCGGCTGATGAAGTCATTTAACACTCTCCGCTCTTCTAATGTGCAACTGCACTTACCCAAGTAAAAAGGGTGAGCAATGTCTGCCGTCTCCTTCTCCAGCTGCAGAATTTCTGCTTGCAGTTTCTTCTACAACAATAGTAACATCAAAAGAAAATGCATTTTTAACATACTTATCCAAGTATTCTTGACTCTCTTGGGGTGGGGGAGTAAGTAGAAAGGGAGAAAGTAGGAGCATGGGGGAGAGCGTATGTGTGAGAGACTGAGCATTTTCATGAGAACACGTTACCATACTCTCTGGAGTGTTTCTACTACTAGGTGGGGCTTTTTTGGTCAATAGGAAAAGATTGTTTAAAAGAAACTAAAGAATTTGGTGACTTATTGGGAATTTATCCTGGAAAAGAAATCCTGCAATTCATTCCTACAACACAGAAACTTACAGCTCCGACAAAGCTGTTTCATGGTCTATACTCTACTAAAGAACCTTACAGCCCCCAATTTCCTCCTTCTGGCAAAGATTGGTTTGTGTTGTGTTATTTTTTACTAGCTGAGGGACAACCTCTCTCAGGTGAGCCTCCTAGCTTTGATTCTTTCCAATGATAAAGCAGTGCAAGAGCAGCAGATACCTTCCTGTGGCCGAAAGAGTTGTGGTTGTTTTGGCTAGACTAGAGAAGACTGAGGAAAGCCTAGAAAAGGATGACATATCAGTCTCTCAGAACATACAGAGAACTGTTGCTTTGCTTTTCTTGATCACTGGGGAGAGGACAAAAATAAACCTGCTTCACTCACAGCACACTGACCATCTGTCAGAGAAAGTGCTATGTATGTGAAGGCTTCAAGCAAAGGAGCCATAGCGGCCACTGGGAGCTGGAAACCATTTGTTGCTTCTGCTGGTCAACAGAGGATGGTGCCAGCTGTTTAACTCACTCTCCAAAACTGGAAATGATGAATGTGTCACACTACTTTGCATTAAGGCTTTGTGAGCAAATCCTCAGAAAACATCATCATAAAATACAGGCCAGAAGCCAATTCAGGTAACAGGAAGTGACTGAGGTTCTCTCTTGCTAACCAACAAGAGGGTCTAGTTGCCTATAAAGAAACATTTGTGAATAAGTCAACTACAAATTCTTATTTGTTCTTCAGTGTCTTCAGAAAACTTCAGGTAACGCTTCAAAGATCCAAGCCCCTGCATCCTTCCAATGATAATGAAAACTTTCCTTTCATAATTTTGTTCTTTTCTTTATGACAACTTAGTCCATTAGGGGGAAAGCACCAACTGCTAAACTGTTAAAATAACCCCAAACCAACCCAAAACATGCAACAATAGCACACTGCAGTCTGATACCTCATCAGACGACATATATTACCTCTAAGTATTGAAGTGTTGAGTATACACTGACAACAGTAAAGGCTGTACCTCATTGATTTCAGCTTGAATGTTTGCCATTTTTTCCATCTTTGAGAATTTCACAAAGCACGGGGTTTTTCTACAGGTTAAATCCAGTGTCTCCTGTGAAAGGAAAACAGCGGGAAGAAATGCAGTCAGCAGCAAGAACTTATCAGGGAAATTCTCACGGTTGGCTTTTAATAGTTTAAAGTTACCGTTAATCTCTTGCACTACGCAATGCAGTAAACATTATCAGAGCATTATTTGGGGAAAATGAACACGAATGAAAAGAAAATTTCATAAAACGCAGTATGAGAACACTCAACAATACTGCCATGCATGCTGCTCAAACGCACTACAGGCCATCAAAAAACCCTTGTCTACACTCCAGAAAAACACACACCAGAAGGCAGAGTTATCCCTAGTAAGGAAAGCTGCAATCTGCCTCACACGGATGAGATCTCACAATAAAAGGAAAATCCTCTCTGCCGTTCAAATCAATGAGCGTTTACACACAGTAACACGGTTCAGCCCTTTCATCTTATTCAACCCAGCCAGCCGGCACCGCAGCAGGTAAGGCGGCATAGGTTTGTCAGCCTAAAGACAGAGGCACCTGGACGGGCACGGAGGGAGGAGGAGAGCCGCGACACAGCACCTCAGCTGCGACTTCCCCCAACCTTTACCACAACTCGGTTGCGTACACGCCGCTATTTTTCCCGCCGCGCCCTTCAGGGCCCCCCTAGGGCCTTTCCGTTACCTGGCTGACGACGCCCGCCGCCCGCCACCGCTCTAGCCGGGTGGCCGCTGCCGTGGGCTGCCCCACCTCCCAGCAGCGGCGGTCGAGCGCAGCGCTGCTCTGTTCCTCCGCACCCTCCGCGGATTGCTGCGATAACGACAAATAGGCGGGCCAGTCCTCCTCGCAGGGCCCGGCGCTGGCGG